AAAAAAAAAAAAAAAAAAAAAAAAAGAAAAAAAAAGAAAAGAAAATAATCACAAGAGATTATTAGAAAGTGATTACCAGCTAAATAGACTGTTAGAGACATTTTCTCTTCTTAGCTCTACTGTTAAAAAAATGCATAGCTCATTTCAATTGCTATCAGAGGAGATTTTGCCTTATGAATAGTTCTTCTGGACTCCAGAACTATTAAGCAAACCCAAAATTGTTCCATTCTAAACGAGACACTGTTATACTGCCATAGCTCTAGGGTACTGTATAAAATGTAATATAAATCAAGAAATCGCAAAAATATACAATAAGAAAAATAATTAATGAAGTACCAAATATAATGTATTGCTCATTTTTCAAACAGTTTCCATTCTAGCCTAAGCAAGTATTTATATGACTCACATTAGCATATTGTTTAAGTGCCTCACAAACACTATTATATTTGTCCCCTTAAGGCAGGAAAATATTATTATTCCTGTTTCACAGATGCGGGACTGAGGCACAAGAGTCTGACTTGACCGATACTACCATAAGCTGTAAAAGAGGTGGGATTTCTCGCCGCATCTCCTGAGCCCTACCTCAGTGTATCAACCATCAGACCATTTTTCTTCTCCTCTTACAGAAAGGGAAAATATTCTTTAAAATGCCAAAATTTCAGCTTGGGGTGATGCATTGGTAATATGGGAGTAACAGTTGTTCTTTTTGCCATGTGTGTGAGGCAACAATGAAAGAGCTAGGAACGTTTTCTGTCCCTAACTCACCTTTGTGCATCCTGGAGTTACCACCATCATCAAAGAAAAGCCATAGCTGATGAGACCTAAGAAGTAAGCTTCAACAGAGAGCAAAGTACAAACAGCTCTTGCCCCAACACGCACTAACTCACACGTGCCCATGTGGTGGGCTGCTCCATGTTTCAGCCATACTCATGTGGCCTAAGTATATAAACCTCAGATATGAAGCTCTCACCCCAGCTGACCTCCAAGAGCAGTCAATAAATATTTGTGAGTGAGGATGGCTGCCAAAGTCAGATCCAGTTCTCTTTTTATGCAAATTCCATGGTTTTTACTATGGTGGCTAGATTCAGGTTCATACTGTTCAAAAACACATGGTTAGTGGATGACCAACATCTGGGGTTGAATTAAACATCTTAGGTTCAAGTTCCTGTCAACACCTGGAGGAAGAGACACCTCAGTCACGCTCTAATCTGAAGGCACAGCTCATATTATTTTAATTTGCTTAACTGAAGAGATGATGCAGAACCAACATGAAATGCAGCCCAGGGCATCCACAATCTCAGCACTCACGCTGGGGTTACTTTTGCACCACAGACCTGATGGAAAGAGATGACCTCAAAAAATGTCTTGGCTATTTTCAGATTGTTCCCATCTTACTGATCATTTCTTTGGGAGTGTGGGGTTAAACATTTTATAGGAGCACAAGGTGATCAAGAGAAGGAAGGATGGACCACTGGGAAGGACCCGAGACTGGGACTCAGGAAACAAAAGCTTCAACTTCCTGTTCTGCCACAGACTTCCTGTATGAACTGAGCAAACCACTTTGCTTCCTACCTCTATTCCCCAGCTACAAAAGGAGGCAAGGAAGGGCTAAACTGATATGGTAATGGGAGCCTATGAGAGTGCTAAGATAAAAATGAGCACTGAAAACATTTCTACAAACTGCCAAAAAGTTAATGAACATCATTATCAAAATGTAATGGAAGTAGACAAAAAAATTAGAATACCTGGGAGGCCATATATAGAGACTTCTACTGTCTAAATTCAGAGTATGCTAAGATTAGTTTCTCAGTAAGCATTATGAGAGCTTTCCATTTTTCCTTCCCCTTTTTGTTTTCAATTGAAGTGACTTTGCTTTAAACAAAAGAAGGGGTGAGCACTAAACAGAAGAAGTGGTGAGTGGAAAAAATAATCACAAGACTCAAGGTAAAGGCTATTGAGGCACTCATTTGGGAACCCTGCACAGCTCACCGGTATCAGCAAAGCTCCAGGACTCAGCAGCTGCTCTTACTAATGGCAAAGGAAGCATAACTTACTGCTGTCACAGCATTATTTTATATGCATTGCTTTCAGCTGTCCAGATGACAACGGCATATTGGATCCCTACAGAATTTATAAATTGGTTTCTCCCAGAGCTCTGTGTCCACAAAATAAAAACCCCCTGGAACGCTGCCTCTCTGCGCTGAATCACTTCACAGCAGCACTTAATAATCAGCAAGTAGCTGTCTCCAGGTTCTTAGAAAGCTTGATGTAGTGACCTAGAGCACCATTAGGCAGCACCATTACACTTCCATCCTGCCAGCATTTAGCCTAATTGTTAGGAAAATAGAAATACACAAAATTTGCTTTATGGTCAGCTCTTCTGGAACTGTCCTGCATGGCGCGCACTGTATTCAGAACAAGCAATTATTCTTTCCTTGCCTCCTTTAAAATCCATATACATTAAAGCTTCAATAAGCTGCAATGATAGCATTAAGCAAGATAGTTACCACTGAAGCCACTCATAAAGTCTGGTGAATAGTGGGTGACCATGGGCTAATGACAGAGGACTAGGACTGCACTTTCACTTAATTATTTTTATTTTTTTTAAAAAGACTGGATACATTTTGTAAAATGAAGGCATGATTTTATTTGCTTAGATGCATTTGGATAGCACTTGTCACTGTAATACCAGTCATCGGAATGATTAGATGGCTTTCTAAAAGATATGCTCTTGCTTTAACCAGAATTGATCAGGCTTAATGCAAGAATTAGTGGCTGAAACTTTCTGGTCTGTGATTTGTAAGAGGGTTGGGTCTATGAATATGTGAAAAAAAAAATCTGAGTACTTGCACTTTAATTCTTGCCAATTTCTTCCATTTCCGACCTCTCATTCGAGCTGTCTTGCTGCCATCTCCCTCACAGGGATCTGTACGGTTCCTATATAGAGACTTAGGGGTGTGCGCGGTAGTGTGTGCTGTGTCTTGAGAAAAGTAAAATTTTTATATATGAGAGAGAAGGTCAAGATAACTGTTCTTCTAGGAGAAACTCTAACCTTTCTTCCAGGTTCTCGACCTACACCCAGAACTTTTCTGACCCCATATCTTATGCATCCTTCTTCTCTTCCTGTCTCTCTCATTTTTCAGTGAACGCCCACAGCAGCACATCGGCAGGGAGAGGAACTAAATGGCCAAAATAATTTTTTTCCCTTCTTCACTTTCTTTGATAAAGGTCAGATTATCACAGGTCTCCAATGACTTCTCAGAGATCCTGCAGCAAAGGGAGGCCCCAGGAGGCGGCCTATGATATGCTTAAAGGTTGCCACTGACATCCTACCTTTTGGTTTGTCAACATGCTGGGCCCCAGGACACTGGAACGGCTGACTGATAACAGGACCGTAAAGAAACAAGAAACACAGAAACAGTAGGTATCCCTGGTCTGAAGTAGGGAGAAATTCCAAAAGTGGGTTTCCTAAGATTGAAGAGATGTTGGCTGCATAATTCAACATCTGCTAAGATGTAAGAAGAATTGCTGTTTAGCAACACGATAGGTTTTTTGGGGTTTTTTTTAGGCAAACCCGTTGAAAGGAAAAAAACCACACCCTCTTACGAAAGAGAGAAAGCATTTCTGGTCATCCTGCAAGCAAGGGCAGAATCTTCCTCTCAGAGGTGCAGTGTAGGTCTCTTGGCTGTACTTGTTCCAAGTACTCATTGATAGCAAGAGATGGGAGTCAATCCCACTGGGTCAGATCCTACTTTATGCTGAGGTTGCTCCAGTGTTTCAAAGCAGCCTTAAATACTGGCCTAATGAAAGATCCTTCCTGCCCCAGGGAAATCCTTGGGGTATAAAGAGCTGCTCTATCAGCTCCTTCTTTATGCAACATGGGGGAATGGCCAGGGAGCATCATTCACCCTTCTTGGCATGCCAATAACTTCTGACTCTTGCAACAGTCTCCTGAGGTCGTTGCCAGTTTAAATATGTTAGAAGAACCTCTCTTTTAGAAAGAATGGGCCAGGAGGGTAAGTTGACTTTAGCCCTTCAGACTTGCTGAACTACAAGGAGATGTGCTTTGCTCCCAAAACAGCCAATCTTCTTACACACTGAAAAAATAATCCTGATAGGTATTAGGAACAGAATGTGGAACTGGTGTCTCACTGGGTCTTCTCTCATAAGGATGTCAGTAAGTGTTAAGGAGTACCTGAGCTCACCATACACGTAACCCTCCCTTTAGTGCTGTTTAGTTTGCAGGATGCTCCCCATGCTGACCTTTATTTTGTGAGCCAACCTGGCATTCAGGCAGTTTGGCTGTGATGATTTTGTTTTCTGGATGTTGCACTTTTGCATTTCGAAGCATCCCACCCCTCGGATGAGACAACACATGGTTTACCCTCATGTCCTGCTCACCGCGGTACAGAGGGTGTGCGCACGCATCCATGTACAATCCCACAGCCCTCTCTGATGGGGGGCTTATGTTTTATTCCATCTTGTTTTGCTCCATAAAACATTTCAGGTGACTCAGTGCACATTATACTACGTGCATAACAATGATGCAGTCAAAAAAGGACAGCACAGAACCTCTGAAAATGTTAGGTCCAGCATCTCCTTTCCCCAAGCTGGGAAATTTCTA